GAGACCTGAGTATATTGCCAAAAAAGAAAGGGAAAAAAAAAAAAAAAAAAAAAAAAAAAAAAAAAAAGGCACAGCACACGCATTACACGAGGATTAAAGCCCACAAGAAGACCAAGCTAAGACACGGCATTTTTCATTGTATTTGATTTCATCTGTTTTTTTCTTGTTTTTGTCTCTTATTATTTTCTTTCCGGAATCAGCCATCTGGCTACAAAGATCCTGGGGTAAGCTCTGCAAATGGCTGCAGTTGGTTCTGAGTAAACATCAAAAACAGCGGGAGAGGGAGAACAGCGGTAAAGGGGACGCTATCTTTTGAGGACTAACTTGTTGGATAGGGAAAAAAAACCAGTGGTATCATCGAAGAACAAGGAGAACGACCCAGATCGCGCACCTCGTTCAGCTCAGCTCACAGGCAGCTTGCTCATATCGCCCTTGCCCTCTTTGATCCACTCCGGATCGATCAGACGCTCTCGCTCAGCATACAGCTGCTTGTAAGCACCGCGAATGGTTCCGTCACTGACGTGGGCTACCTGGGAAATTTCTTTGGCAGACTTGCCCTGACCCATCAGGTAGGAGGCCATGTAGATGCAAGCCGCGACGATGGAAAGCGGAGAGCGACCGGCCAAGTCACCCATGGTGGTGACCCGGTCAGAAAGTGCAGCGGACACGCTGGTGACCTTGTAGGGCAGATCGAGGAGATTGCAGAAACGATTGCAGAGATCGCTAGGCTTGGTCGAGGTGGTGGCCGTGTAGGCATCGTTCGGATCAGGCACCCCACCACTCGACACAACGGCATTGTTGCGCTCGACGTTCTGTGCAGTGAAGAACTTCTCCAGCGCCTTGTAGATGCGGCCGATCTCCTTCCGAGTCACCTTGGTCACGGCAAAGATCTCAGTGAAGGTCCTGGGGACCTTGCACTGGCGGCAGGCAATGAAGATGCAACCAGCAATAATGACTTCCTGGGACTTGCCCTTGAATGCCTTGGCATCATCCACGATCTTGAAGAGATATTTGGCCGTGTCGGCAACGTTCTTTTGGATATTGAATCCGTCGCACAGCGCACCAATTTCCTTGTAGGCTGCGAGGAGTGCCTTGTTCGCCTTCTCGTTCGACTGCTTGTTCTGGGCGCGATACAAATCCCGAGCTCGACCAGAGCCTCCGCTGGCAATCGAAGTCTCCAGCTGATCACCATTGAGCAACGGGTTCATGGCATCTCCAACACGGGACGGGTCATCGTTGTTCTGGTCGTCGTTGGAGAAGGTTCGCCACTCAGAGTGCAAGTCAATTTCTCGGTCGGCGAGCACGAGTCCACAGGATCCGCAGACAGTCTCGTGGGAGTCAGGAAACTCCAGGTTGGGAGGCACCTCCTTGCACTCCGGGCAGAGAAGGTGGGCAGACAGGTTTTTCTTCCATGGGGATGCCGCCTCGGCCCTTGCTACGGGTGACATGGCCGCCATCTTTTTTGCGATTCGGATGTCTTCAAACCGTGCGCTGTGTCTTTTGGCGACCTTTTTGGCACTGACGGATAGATTGTATTTGTGGTTGTAGTAACGAAAGAATAGTGGCGAATACAGTTTGGCAGCTGGACTTCGACCACAGAAGAGATGAGGTCCACCTATTGAGTCGTTCTCAACAGGTGCAGGGCAAGGAGGAAAACACCGACGACGTGCTTTGCGTTTCGGCTCGTCAACGTCTTCTGTGCGCCACTGCCTTGGTAGACTCAAGTTAGCCCGATTGCTACATTCACGAATTCAACCAAAACCTTGGATGAAGCCACCAAGCACTCATGGAAGCGATGCATGGCTGGTCGCCAGCAACGGAATCCATCGAGCCACTTGGAAGACGCCACCCAAGTCAATCAGGCTGCTATTACCTTTCCCCCGGATGTACACTCAGTCCAGTAGATCACCCCCCAGTTGTGAAAGCCTTCACAAGTCTGCGCTTTCTCAGACGAAAGTGAGCCACCGAAATCCCAGATGCCAGCAAGTCCGACCGATGAACCAGTCAAGGTCTCCGTAAGAGTAATGATCTCACGGAAAGGGGTCGTAGAACCTGACCGGGCCGCTGCAAGTGAATCAGATCAGAGCGATCGAGCAAAGCAGCGTCGAGAGTCGAGTTCCGGGGACAGGCAGGCAGGTAGTTGGACGGAGAGGGATCGAGGACTGGGGGAGACGGGGAGATGGGAAGAGAAAGACCAGAGCGAGAGGTCGGGAAGTTCTTGACGTTGGATGCGTGCTGAGTCACCCCTCCATCTGAGTCAGCGCCAAGCCGCCCTTCCCGACTTTCATCGTTTGCACTTCTCCTCGATCAGAATAATCCATCCTGTCAAAGCAGTTTCCCCCTCCATCCCCTTGAGACACTTCTCGCAGCCAAGATGATGTCCCAGTCTCTGCGAGCCTCGGTATGCCTCCATTGTAGATGCCCCGTCCCTGGCCCTGGCTGACCTTCCGCAGCGCTCCGTCCTCTCCCGTGCCTCTCGGCAGCAGGCCTCGATCGCTCGCCGCAGCTTCCTGACCTCCGCTGTCCGTCGGGGTATGTCACCTGTTTTCTTCGTTGATGATTGGATCCATAATCATCCAATTGCGCCCGTACTAACCCATTTCGCCCCCGTCCAGCCGACCCCGTTCAGGAGTTGTACCTTCGCGAACTCAAGGCCTACAAGCCCACTCCCATCAAGGCCGGTGACGCCGACGCCCACGTCCACAAGTTCGCCGTTCCCCAGGCCCCCAAGTCCCCCGAGGAGGCCAACCTCGCCAGCGAGCTGTCCGCCTACGAGAGCCAGCAGGTCGAGGTCGAGGGTCAGGCCGCCGCCGGCGAGGCCGCCCCCGTTGAGGAGAGCTGGTTTGAGGAGGATGAGGAGGAGGCTCCTGCTGCCCACTAGACATTTATATGTTGATTCGACTTTTTGGTCTGGGAAATATGGGACGGATGGTTGGCTCTCCGCCTGTGGCGGGAGAGTGGCCGCCTCTCGGGTCCTGATGCTTGTAAATTAGACCACCTTGAGAAACGTTGAACCTTTTTCCTTTGTCTTACATCTGTGCTCTGCGTCGTGTGTAAATCCCATCTGGGTGGACTGAGATGTCCAATTGTATAAGAATCTGACAGGTTTTATACACACGTCCCAGCTCACATATCGGCCCACTACGAATACTACCGTGTAGATCAATGACGGATGGATGCATTAAACCAACCTGTCAAATAGGTCTGCGGTTGTGGCTGCCTACCTGCCCTCTCTTGCCCCATCACGGCGAGTTGATCCCCAGTCGGGCAACTCTCGCCAAGTCAAGCTTGGAATTGCTACATAGTGAGGATGTAAGGTAGGACTATCCCGTCTATGTACAGTTTACAATATTATCAGTCTACAATACAAGAGGCATCCCTTGATAGATCGTCAAGGAGATAACCGAGACAGCAAGACCTCGTATTCAAGATATGTGCTGTGCAATCGTATAATTCCCCCCATTGCACGCCACCCAGCGTATCTTGCCCGTCGGCTCGCTTTTCCAAGCAGGGCGGCAAAGTAAGCCCTAAACATTGACTACCCGGAAGCCCTGCATGGTAATAAAGTGGGCTAGATGAGAGGGAGGTTAGCGGGGAATATATACTCGATGATAAGGCGATTTAAGCGTCAGTGGCTGGTTCCCCGCCTGCAGGGCTGATTGCGATCGTATGAACTTCCTTGCTATTCCGGCACGGCTGAAGTTCTCTGCAGCACCGGAAGTTCTTTCTCGTGCGGCCATCGGCGGATGGCGATTCCGCCCGGCTGGATGTTGTGGAAGCGTTCGTGCGCTGTCCGCCATGAGCCACAGCTGGAATGCGGGGCGACTTGGAGGCCGCTCGTGTTCCCTTGACAGGTGAATGCAAGTGAGCGAGAGAGAGACATTCCTGTACCAGTTGGGTGCTGCATAGGAATGCGCGAATCAGCAGCCAGAACCATTCGGGCAGTACCCAAGAATGGGCGTTGACGCATCAGGACACGAGTTGCCAACCATGGGCGGAGGGTGCGGATCGGGCAACAAATCAATAACCACCGTTCCCGCGTGGGTTGGCATCAAGGCTGATACAGGAATCAGAAGTCAGCCTCGGGGGCTGCTGGGAGGACATTACGCGCGCATGATGGCTAAGATGCTAACGGAGTCGGTGGTTGGAGCAGAGGATGGAGAGTGAGAGAGAATGTTCTGGGAGTAAAGCAGCGCGATATGCCGAGAGAGAAAAAAGATGAAAGTGTCTCAGAGGAAGAACAGGAACATCACGGGACTTCTTTCTTACTCTTTCTTCCAATATCACTTCACTTTTTCATCTCCCTCGCTCTCTCTCTCTCTCTCTTGTCTTCTCCCTGCTCTTGCCTCATTCCCTCCCTCCCCCTGCTCCCTCCACTCCATCCACCTGCCCGACCTCCCTCGCTTCTCGACAAGCCGACCGCCCCCGCCCTTTGCCGACCCTTGTTTATTACCCAATGACCCTGGTAGCAAATTCAAAAATAAACAGTACAACTGGCGAGCAGTTTCCCCGAGATTAAATTCCCTGCTGCCGATCAGTGGCTGTTTGGCTCCACCGCCCTTTGCTGCAGTTAGTGGAAGCTCGATCTATCTTATCCCCGGCAGGCACCGATCCTGGCCCTTTCAACCTAGCAAACCTCGCCCCAATTGATGTGCGGCCCTCCTGGTTGACGGCAAAGGATGAGACCCGCCTCTTCTCCTTCCTTGTGACTGGTCTACGATTCGATCGCTGCCACCTGGGACTCTTTTTCTCCATCTTTCAACCTCTCCTCCTGCCCTTGTTTCCGCCCTCCGCCAACCTCCTACCCGCCACACCCTCTCCGATGCTGCGCCGCTCCTCACATGTCCTGCTCTGATCATCTTTAACCTGGTGCCTGGACGAGCTGGTCTCTCCGACGCCAACACTTCACATTCGCTCGCTGTTTACCCAAGGGAGACATGTCCACTCGCCGACAAGCTATTCCTCACGCTCGATAGTCAACTTTGTTGGCCCCCAAGACCATGTCTTCGCCTTCGACTGAGACCGTCCGCAACTACACTAACGATGATGGGAATGGGTTTCTACCACGTTCGGCCAGCTATGCAGACCTCCCCCGTGTCTTGCCTGCCACAGAACCCGGCCCTGCGAACCTAAGAAGGACATTCTCTGACTATGCCGTCCCCACCCTGTCGGATTCGCCGACGAAGGAAAGCGTGGCGGCGGGGAAAGATATCTTACGCCGGACGTCTTTGCGCTCCAAGAATCGGCCGGAGATGGCCGTCTCACACTTCACGCTATCATCATCGGAGGAAGTGAACAAGACTGGTACAGATTTGCAGGACCATGCCGACAAGACGCCGCGAACAAGGGCACCAGAACCTGTGGCGCGACCATCAAAAGGTCGATCAATGTCAGGGCGGATAGTGAGCCTGGCCCGGAAACCATGGGGCTCGTCGTCACGTTCTCCATCTCCGTCGTCGAAGCGAGCCAAGCAGCACCAGAGCCGCGGAGACGAGCAGTCTTCAATTAGCTCGCGCTCCCAGGCCAAGAAAACTGCCACAGCGACGCACACAGTGCCAGACTCGGAATCTGTCCAGCCCTCGCGGAAGCGTACGATCTTATACAAACGGCCAAGGCGCCCAATGCTGGCTGTGGTTGCCAAGGACCTTGAAGATAACCCGGAATCGCCGAGCAGCCCAACTGGCCGCACGTTACGGCAACATTCGTCACTGGAGAAGTTTACCTCGTCCTTGTCGGTCTCCACGCCAGTTCTACCGCCGATGCCGAAGGGAGCCGCGGCCACAGCTGCTGCGGCGCTTTCACATAGTGTCGGTGATTATTCTCGTCGGAAGGATGAACTCTGGGGTGTTTTTCGCGGTCTCGAGGCGGATTATCAAAAGTATGTGTCACAATTTTCAGAGCATAATCGCAACTACTAACTAGAGATATTCAGATTTCAATCCAAATCAAGCTCTCTCAAAGCCAACGTTATTCGTACCTCCCTGGTCCCTTTTCTCGGCCGCCACCATCTCCATGCATCATGCAAGGATTTGAGACCCGAAGACTTGGATCGCCGAGTAAATATTCTCAACAAGTGGTGGATTGGAATGCTCGAGATGCTCAATGGCAAAAATAACCAATCCATCTCTGGAACAGACAGGCCGGTGTTCCTGGAGGCCGTGGTTGGTATTATGGCACGCCCGGAATGGCGGATACCTTTCGCTACTGCACAAAATAACAGTGGACCACCAGACTCGTTGAAATATGCGTCGACATCGGTCTCGGAATCGTCCGAAGCCTCAGGTTCGTCGGGATCGGACTTTCTGGTTGAGTCGATCCACCATAATATTCGGAATATCTTCATTCAAAATCTTCTTTCCCAGATGTCGTTTGTGGTGGAACGAATGTCCATGCGCCATGCACCCGCCAGCCTGGTAGCATTCTGTGGAAAAGCCTGTGCTTACGCATTCTTCTTTTGCCCTGGAGTAGCAGATATCTTGGTTCGGCTGTGGAGCACGCCTCCCAACACGTTCCGTCGTGTCCTGGCGCAGTTATCTGAGTCCCGAAGCGGTAATGCACGAGCATACACCCAAGAGCTTTCTTTATACTTTCCGGTGGCGCTGCGTTCCCTCGCCTTCCACTCCTATGGGCCTCTTCTACGGTACCTTCGCCAGAAACCTGATATGCCTTTGAACACCACAAACATTCCCTGGCAGTCCCCATGGGTGACGCGTTGGTGCGGACGCGATACGGACCTGTTCTTCGTCTTCGTGAAATACATTCATATCCTCTACGCAGAGTATCTACCCCCCGAGACCCAAAAAGCTAACCGAATTTTGGCGCCGGGTCTGCTGCTCGTCCATGCCCAGCTTTTGGTCGTCCTGGAGGAGACCATTTACAAACAGTCCGCCCAACAACCTGAAAATCCCCATGTCGCAGCCGCCATCACTTTCGATGATTTTATTGAAGCACCAGATGCCTCAGCCACTTCGCATCCCCTTGGAGGAGGCAACAGTCATCGGTCCATGGCGGAAAATCGGTTGATCATCCTTCTGCGGGATTTCCTCTCCGAGTCGTCTGCTGAACCAAATCGTGCCCGATTGTTGTACGCCGAATCCTTCTGTGCAATACTCAAAGCTTCCGCCCAGAAAACTTCCCTGTTCGACCACAACGCGTGCTTTTTGCTGTGTGACTTTATCGAGGAGGTCATTCCGATTATCACCCGGTACGCTCAGTCCATCGAACGGGAATTGTTTGACTGGGGCTTTTGGCTGGATGTCGCGAAGCAGATGCTGCAGAGCCACAACTCGCTCACCGAGGTCCGGGTTTTCTCTTTCCTTTATTGCGCTTGGGGTATCTGGACTGCCACCGAGCTGAGGAAAGCTGGTCTCATCCTGGATTTCCTGCTCCAGGAGCCACTTTTCTACCATTATTTCAATCACTGGAGCCCAATGGTTCGCGCATACTTTCACCGTCTGTTGTGTTGGAGAGTGGGTCGGTTCAGTGGCGATCCCACACCACTGGATTCGTAAGTGCTTTGATCGATTTCTAATTTGTTTATGGTGCTAACTGGGTTTTCCAGTATGATCTATGAGACCCTCTCCGATCGACTCTTGCGCGTCTGGGAATACTATATTGGATACCAATCTAAGGCTGAAGAGGGACTTACAGCTCCTCTGTCCTCCGCTCCCTGTACGCCGGCTCCCGGTCGAAGAATCATCATCATCCGATGCGATAATCATGTCTCTCCGGTGAACCTGTTTGTCTCTTTCGACCGCGTTGTCCCACCTGTTCCTCAGGACCAACTTAGATCTCACCGGAGAACTGGATCAGCCGATTCCAGTAGTTCGGAGGGCAGCATTGGCAAACGTCGATGGGGTCTTCTTCGATCCATGTTCAGCAGTTCTTCGAACTCCCGATCTGGTGATGACGCAGCCAACAGCAGCTCCGATGAGTCTGAGAGCGGTTTGAGCGAAATAACGATGACTTCTGATACAAAGTGCCTTGATCAGCATGAGCCCACCCCAAGCAACAGCACCGAAGAGCTTGTTCGGCCGGAGTTGCCACACCAGCCGTTCTTCTTCAAGTTTTCATTGGAATGGATGGATCGACCCCAATGGCCGAGCAAAAACAAGCGTCTCTTTGCTCCATGCCTGCCAGTGGGATCCCAGCTGCACGTCCAACGTCAACGATCTCCCGCAAAACCATCGGACGACGACACCATATCAGAAGATACTACAATTTCTTCAGAAGACGGCCACGAAACCCCGGGAAACACCATAGACCCACTCCAGACACCTCGCCTCGACCAAGGGCCCAAGACACCCAGAACCCCTACAAACAAAAACTCGCCGCTGCCCCAACTTCCTCCCCTCCCCTCTTACGACCATCTCGTGCCCAGCAAATATGCGGGTCGCGCTTTGGCGGAGTGGGCCCACATTGTCTCGGAATGCGATAGTTTCTTCGCCCGGCGCCGCGACGAAGGCGTGCCCACGGACCGCATGGTGGAAACTCCAACATTGGGCGTGGAAAACTTCCGGAAATAGTGATATCAGCTATCGCAGGTCCACATACCTTTCATCTTGAGTCTTGCAAAAGGCAGAGATGTCTTGTTCTTCTAAAATCTGCTTCTTCTTTTTTGTTTTGTTTTCAATCCCACACCATACATCCTTGCTGTTCAAGGAGGCATAGGGTATCGGCGTTTAAGCAACCGCGTTTCCGTCTGCGGTCTGCATATTTCTTTTTTCTTTTGTGTTCTCTGCATCGGAGCGCGATGTACTTTCTTGCAGTGATAATCGAATAATCAATGAGATACAATCAAGGAATTAGCCACTTTACTCTTGCGAGGCCATCATAGCAGCATATCTGACGCAGATCCGTAAGAATCGAATCGCAAGGGTGCCTTATCTAGCCTAGCAGCCGAGGAGCTCTTCCCCCTGTTATAAAGTAAGACTCCTAGGCCCCTAGCGGCAACCTAATTGGCAGGTGGCAGTACTGCAAGAGAGTTTACTTCTATGCTGCCCTAGGTACGTCTGGGTGTGTCTATCATTCAGACGTCCTGAGCGTACCCAAATTAACACAAAAACCACTATATCTTTAGTGTACCATTAAGGATAAATCTAAGAGTACCAACCAAGAATGGGGAATTCCAACCCCATCCATCCGTCCATCCACCTACCCGTCCATCTACTCCTCCTTCTTCTCCTGGGCCAGCTGCTTATTCAAAAGATACAACAGCGCGCCCTGCACATCCTCACGGCCCATAAACGCCTCTACAATTCTCACACCCTTTCCATTCTGGGCTTTCTGCAGCACATCCTGTAGCTCGCCGCAAGTCCGCGCTGTGAAGGTACTCTTTGCCACATGGTCCTCGTCAGCACCGAAATAGCTCAGTGCCTGGGTATGCCGCCAGAATGCGACATCATTATAGCTTTGGTTTCGGCCATGGATGACCCGCTCGATGGTATATCCGTCGTTGTTGATGATAATGATCAAAATATTCAGCTTCTGGCGGATCATGGTGCTGATTTCCTGCGCCGTCATCTGGAGGGATCCATCACCGATGACCAATGTCACATTGCCGGGAGTTTTCTGTTCGCGCTTGGCGAGTGCGGCGCCCAAGGTAGCGGGGAGCATGAATCCAATTGACAACCACGTCACAGCTCCAAAGACACGTGCTTTGGGTGGGAGGTTGAAGTGCCGGCCGCCATGCGACGCGGTGCCCGTTTCAGTGAGGATAATGTCGCCTTCCTGGAAGATCGGGTTGACTAGTCTGAAGAAATTGTCTTGGGCGATGAGGTCCGAGCTCTTGATGTCATCCAGAGTGGTTACTACCTTGGGCGGTGCTTCCGTTGCTTTGGGGATGCGAGTGGAGTCAAGACCCTGGAGTAGTTGCGAGAGCATGTCTTTTCCTGAAACGTCGCGGTAGATAGGATCGGTCCCGATTTGAATGGAAGTGTCTTTGAAAGTGACCGCAACAGCCGGGGCAGGCACGCCGGTGAAGAAATAGCTATTTGTATCACTGTAGTGCGGTCCGAATGTAAGGATGAGATCTGCCGACTCGAAGTATGCCTTCGCGGGCTCGTCACCAAAGGCCGCTGCGTATAGCCCATACACATTAGGGAGCTGCTCGTTCACAAGGCCCTTGCTAAAAACAGTGCACCATGTAGGCCAGCCAGTCTTTTTGATGAGAGTATCAAGCTGGTCGACGACACCGAGGGCGACACTTTCGCCGTCCACGAGGATCAACGGGCGTTTCGCAGTATACATGCGCTCCAAAATCTGGCTTGCAATCTGTGGCTCCTTGCCCGTGCTGGGAACGGGTGGAATAGTCACTTTCTTGGTCAAATTGGCCGCAGACACGATGACATCGGGCATATCGTCAGGAATCTCTAGGTAGACGGGACGGCTGTGGACCAGAGCCTGCTGCAAGATCCAGTCGATCTTATCCGGCGCCGACGCTGCATCCGTGATCTCAGTCTGTGCCGCCGTGATATGCGTCGACATGGCGGCGAAGCGACGGTACTCGCCGTCGGCGAAGGTGTGGTGCATCAGCGCGCGTGTGCTCTGCAACTGGCGTGGCGGCGTGCCGACAATGTGGATAACAGGGGAGCGCTCGGCATAGGCACCAGCAATGCCATTGAGTGCCGACAGTTCACCCACGCCAAAGGTCGTGACTAGCGCGCCCAAACCATTGATGCGTGCGTAGCCGTCGGCAGAATACGCGGCGTTGAGCTCATTGCAGTTGCCGATCCAGCTCAGCTGGGCGGGCTCGACGAAGTCTAGCAGACGCAGGTTGTAGTCGCCGGGCACGCCGAAGACGGAATTCACGCCCAGCTGGCGTAGGCGGGCGAAGAGGTAGTCGGCGAGCTTGATGGTGTCCATGGTTTGATTGGGAGGAAGAGAGAAGGTATGTAGATCGATAAGTACCGATAAGCAGCTTTTATACTTGTACCCCCGCCCCGCCGCTAGCCGTCTTTCCCTTTTTCTCCGAGGCTGTTTTATGTAACAACTATTCCCTCCAAAGACCATGTCGCGACGCCCGGCCTGCGAACCGTGTCGGAAGTCCAAGCTGGCCTGCGATCACGGGCTTCCGGTATGCTCGCGTTGCAGTACCTCTGGGGCGATTTGCATCTACCGCACGACGCCATTCAAGCGCAGACGAGTCGGCTCCCCAGCAATTTCTGGGTCCGCTGATCCCCGACAAGAAAAGATTAATTAAGAAGCTAACGCGCCCCTGCAGTCTTCATTCCCGAGATTCCTCGCCGTCATTGGGTGCAAGGCGTCCTCCGTACCCAAATCCCGGATTTTTGGGTTCTTCCAGTCATGCAGCCATCTTTAAGCATATCACCCCGGACGGCGATCATGGCTCTACGGCCCATGTTTCGGATCTTGCTTGGTCGGCCACCCAGCCTCAGGTCGCCGGTGACAATCACCTGCTGTCGCAAGGAGCAGATATTCTCAAGCAGCTTTTAACCAGTTATTCATTGGCAGCCATGAAAGACCTGGTCATGTTCTGGTTGATTAAAGGCGCCAATCTTGCGCTGGCCGAACCATTTGTGGCGCAGTGTGCCGAGAGCGTGAGCCACTTATTTACAACACAGGATGAGAATTGGAATTTGGTCTATGCACGGCATCTGCTGCAGAATACCGCCCAGCCAATAGTCTTTGAGGCCGACTCTGACATCCACGGCTTCTCTGCTCAGTTCCTAACCCATAATGCTCGATGGGAGACAATAGCGATTTTCTTTGCCGCTGTCAGCCGAGCTACGATCGATATCTCGTTCTTCCCCTCACTATATGCCACCGAGGAAGAGCAGTATCCTCTCCGAAGACTCGCTATGAAACTCTGTGATCTTGCATTAGAGATCTCTCTCTCGCTGGACTGTCTGAATGATTTACAGCTAATTGTTCAGTATGAGAATTTTATTGTACATTCCTACGTGGATGGCGATCAGAGTAAATTCTCACAAGCGCAGCTATAACATCTGACATGCTAATATACCGCAGGCTATCATACATGGCGCAAGCTCGGAGACGTAATATCATCCACCTTCGCTCTGGGCTACCACGAGAACCTAGAGACCAAACCCGGCATCCCGCCGTTTCTCATAGAACTGCGCAAAACCGCCTTCGCGAGGATCTACTCAGCAGATAAGAACATCGCCATATTCCTCGGCCGGCCTCCGCGAATGAACAAGCGTTTCTGCCACTTCCAGATCCCGTCGTGCCGGACAATTATCGACGATCCAACGGAGACACATCGCGATATCAACCATTGGGAGCCGGACTCCCAGGCTGGATATAGAGCTGACACCCGCTGGTCTGCGCTCTGTGCTTTCCTGAAAGAGGAAATTTGGGAATTGCTTCAGGATAAACACCACGCCTCGTGTTCCCAGCGAGCCAGGTACAATCGAACCAGCCGAGGAAAATGGGATTCTAGAGGAAGTTAACAACAAGTTACAGTGAGATACACGATCAAGCAAAAGCACAATGGCAAGCACTTCCAGCCCATTTTCGACTCGAGGGCAGCCTGAAACAATGCACTCACACGCCATTCGAACGCGACTTTTTAGCAGGCGTGCGGCTGCAGCATTTACATGTCTTATTTTTACTTCGGCTCCTCCTACTTCATTCGTTGACTGAGCCTGATATGGCGATCATCGAGACGGCAGGACAGATGCTTGCCCTAGTCGTGGAAATTATCTTGCTGAGAGACCAGTTGACGAATTCAGGGACAGGTCTGATCTGGAAGGTATCTATCCGTCTATCTCGTCTTCTGTCCTGTATATTAATATAATTACAGGTTGCGCACTACGGCCTCCCCGCCGCAGGGATAATCCTCCTCTCCATGCTAAATCCACAGACAATGTCGCAAACAGGCCCATCGCGCACAAAAACCCTACAAAGCCTCAGCGTCTTCGTAGCCGAAGTACAAATCGGGACGATCGTGCGTCCAGGAGACCCTAACTACGCGCTCCTATCCAAAGCCACGCAGACGATCCAGCGATTCCTTGACTCTTTCCATACGGTCCCGACTCCGCATCAGCAGCATCAAAAGCATTACCAGCATCCACCCCCAAGAGATGTGGCGCCGTACCACGACGAGGCGAGCGACGACTGGGCTGCATTTCTGGAACAGGATACGTGGGACTTCGAGGCGGGATTCTGGCAGAGTTTGGCGGATCATCCATCGTTGTTGGCGTTGGATCCTACCGTGCCTTCTTTATAGAGAGCTCTTTAGTCTATATGACTTGAACGTGCAGCTTACCATTGATACCCTGATACAAAGGAAACCTCGAAAATATAAAACCTCCACAAGTGGAAGAAATAGCATTTGATATCATCTGAGGGGAAAAACGCCGGACCTGGTGAGCAAACGTAGTGATGATAGATACACAGAATGCAAAAGAAAACGCAGACGTGCGAATGGTAAACGTCCGACTAAACAGAGGCTGATGTGCAATAATATGAGAACGGATAAAAATAAAAAGGCCGACACGCATGGCTGGAGGTATATGATACGCGGAGAGTCTTTCAAAGATGCAGAGAGGCGGAGATGGAGGTAAAGACAGGGAGGAGAGGGAGGGAGGGAGGGGGAAGTCGACATAATTCAAGGTCCAATGTGAGCGGCGCTGTACAATGCCCGCAATGGACCGAATGCTGAAGAGGTGGCTGCAAAGCGAAGCAAGTCGGAAAGGAGGCGATGAGATGTTGACACAGACTTGGCGAGGATAAACTACATCAATCAGAACAGCAATTTGTTGCTGGCAAAGTTGATCACGTCGGTAACACGGCTGATCCAGTGCTGGGTCAGCTTCCAGTCTCCAGTGTCTATGGAATCTCGGATGGCGGGGAAGATCGAGGCGCCGTAGCCAGACCACAATTCGGGGCCGAAGATGACATGCCGGAACTGGGTGCGGTTGGGAACCTGCAGGACAATTGTTAGTCAAGATTGTGTGCGAGTAATAAAAGTAAACTTACTCCGCCTCCATGTTCCAGATCCAGTAGGTGTGTGTCAAATGCGGCCATGCGGTCGTTGTGGTTCAACCGCTCAACGCGCATGATGTTGCTCTCGTATCCGCCCGAGCCCCAGACGGCATCGTGCCATATCTGGTTCCATTTCTGGAACTGTACCGTGTTCTTCTGGAGATCTCGAGCAGCCTCGACTAGTGGTTGCATGTTCACTTTGGCGTTCCTAGAGTGCGCATGCTTGCGTAGGTCGTTCACCCAGTCGGTAATAGAGTTGCCGTAGGCCTCCATATCGAACGGCAGCATGGGGTTCTCAGACAGGTCGAGCACAAGCAATCCCCAAAATTGAGCAAGGAGCTTGTGGTACTGGAATCCGGGATCCCCAAACTGTGCCATCCACTCAAAGTTCTCGTAGCAGCTGTGATAGGGGTAAGGCTCGCCCTCGAAACCAAAATCGATGCTCGAGGTTCCTGCAATGTCTTGGAATGCCACATAGTCGCTGCCAGCACCGAGTGGTTCAAGCTTGCTGCCTTTCTCTTGCCAGATTTCTCTTAGGGTTTTATTAGCCTTGGGATCGGAGAGGCGGCCAAGAATTTGCAGCACCACACGCTTAAAGACCGGTGCCGCCGCCACGCGGAAGTTTGGGCCAGAGACGCCGACATCGACATTGATATAGGCGTATGCACGGGCTCGGAGCGCATCCACCTCCTTCTCAACGTGTTCGGTGGAACCAATGAGGTTGTATTCTTCTGCGTCCCAACTGACAAACTCAATCGTGCGCAGTGGTCGCCATCCGTAGGTGAGAAGCTCTCCAAAGGCCCGCACAACTTCCAGAAAGGCTGCAGTGCCACTGCCAGGATCGATGCTACCCAAGCACCACGAGTCGCGGTGATTGCCAACGATGATGGTCTTGTCGGTCTGTTCCATTCCGAGAATTCTGCCGTGGATGTTGTAAATGGGCTGGCGCTTCTCCTCGTCCTGCAAGTTCATCAGATTGACGAGGGGAGAATCCTGATCTCCGGTCCACCACTGCTTCATCTTCGGCACTCCGCCCACCCAGTTTTGCGGCACTTTGGAGCCATGTCCGTCCAAGGCCTGTAAAAGATGTTGCGCATCTCGGGAGGAGAGCGGAAGACTTGGGATCTGTACCAAGCCGGTGCTTTCTTCAAGAGGGATTCTCACTTTCTCTTCCGGGGTGGAGGCGAACCCAGGACTGAGAACATCACCCACCACATGGGACATTAAGCTCACACCTCCTCGCTGCACGCCATCAGGTGGCATGTAGCGTCCCTGAGGGAAGCTGGGGCCATTGACTTCTCCGTCCTCCGCTGGATCGGAGTAGATAATGCAGCCGATTGCGCCAGCCATCTCTGCAGCCTTGATCTTCAACGCGCGATCGGGTTCTGTTCCATAGTATCGGACGAGAACAATGGAACCGTTGACCGGAATACCTCTGTCGGCCAGCAACTGAAAGTCCTCCCTGGATCCATAATTGGCGTACACCAGAGGGCCGGTGACATTGCCAGATTTCGAATGACCGTGAAAGACCGGCACATACTCCTTCTCAGGTATATTCCCCTCACCCTCCTCTAGGGCTGCTTCCCAGACGAGAGAGGGTGGATCGACAATCGCCACCCGGCGGCCGTCTTTGCGCGGGTAATTCAAGTATACCTGGAATTCCTCCCTCTCAACTTCATCAAATTGTGCCTTCCGAAACGCCGCCTCAATTAACTCTGCGATATAAAAGCTACCTTCCGAGCCGGCGACGTGGGAATAATTGGTGACAAGTTTCAGATTTTCAGCGATGTTGGTTTCGTTTATGTTGCTTTGAATGAAGTTCTCGACAGATGACGCGCTATAGGATTGGCCCATGATCATGTGGCTGTTCATGTTGAAGATATCGGCTATAAAAAAGACGTATACGACGGAGACGACGAGCAAGAGACCGAACAGCCGCAAGAGCATAACACAGCCCTGGTCCTTGAACCGTGAATGCGTGTCGGCGAGGTTGGTAGTAAAGCGAAAGTTCGGGATAAAGCGTCGGAAGGGTCGTTGGATGGCTGACAGCGTCCGGGATAAGTTGGAGAACTGCTTGGAGAGATGATGCCGTAGACGGGGGCGCGCGCCGATCGAGGAAGACGGCAGGCCATCATCGACGTCCATCTGATCTAACTCCCGGCGCATCTCTTCCAACGACCCTCGAGCCGACTCCGATCCCGACGATACCAGGTCATCGAGACTGGTGCGAGCGGACTCGACCGTCGGCGGCTGGTACCCCCGGCCAGATGGCGCATGATCGGACCGGCCGAGGAGACCTTGTCGTTCGGCATCGTCACCCTCTTCGCCCAGGTCGGACCGAGAGGAACCGGGTTGAGCGCCGACGGCCTCCTCGTAGGTGGGGATCGGGAGGGATTGATAATCGAACTTATCGTCGGGCATGGCGGATGGTGGTGGGCTCCGGGCGGGAGAGGCAAATGGGAGAGAGCGCCAATTTGAAGATGACGGTCATGATCCTAGAGAGCACAGGCGAAACGAGGGACAGTCATAGCGTGGGCCGGGTTCAGAGGGATCACTCAGGTCGTAAGGGGGTCACGGTCAGCGAGAGTTGGAGATGGCGAGTCACGGGGTGTTGTTGCCTGGGGCCCCACTCGGATCACGCATTTGACAGGGGAAAGGCGTGTCTAGGGAGTAGGGGTTCCTATATCATACGATGGTATGCAGAGGATAGTATGCTACATATATGATTCTACAATGGAATCGCATAGTAGATCCGGATCTCAAAACTTATTCAACATTAGGCAGGCCGACAGCGCTCTGCTCATACCGGTGATCGCCCAGCCGATCGATCCAGCCGATCCGGGTGGGCATATTCATATTCTGGCCAGACCGGGTGGACTAACAGCCGGTACGTAGTTATTAACTACGCAGTACTACGAACTACGTCGAGTCCCTAGCTGAAATCCGTTCACTTTATTTTTATCCGTCTCCGGGCTGGATACACGGTAGAATGCAGACCGGCGGGCCCACCGATAAGATAGGAGGTGCCAAACTCTGTTTTGTGCGGGCGAGAGACAAGGGAGGGGATTCAGCAGACTGACAACACTAAGCACGACTTGATCGAACGTGAAAATAGATTCAATCGACTAGAGGATGCTAGGGCGTAACTACTGCACGAACAAATGAACTACTCCGTATTGCAACCGTTCGGCCCAAAGGAATCCCCCACCTGGAAAAAAAGAAAAAAACCCCATTCCCAGGACTGATCGTACAGTGTAGATCCGAGTACACAACTCCTTTTTATTGACGGGACGCGGACAACCTCCCCTGACCCTGATTCTTCTCCCTCACTTCGATTTTTATTTTTGATCTTTGTGCAAATCCCCCTTATCATGTCTCGCCCCCAGAACATCGGCATCAAGGCCATCGAGGTCTACTTCCCCTCCCAATGCGTCGACCAGGCGGAGCTGGAGAAATACGATGGTGTGGCTGCGGGCAAGTACACGATTGGTCTCGGCCAGACCAAGATGAGCTTCTGTGATGACCGTGAGGGTATGCTGGTCTTTGGATTCAGTATGAAGCTGTCAACCAAATGCTAACAGGTGAAATCTAGACATCTACTCCATGGCCCTGACCACCCTCTCCTCCCTCATGAACAAGTACAATATCGACCCCAAGTCCGTTGGCCGCCTCGAGGTCGGCACCGAGACTCTGCTGGACAAGTCCAAGTCGGTCAAGACCGTTCTCATGCAGCTGTTTGCTCCCCACGGCAACACCAACATTGAGGGCGTCGACACCGTCAACGCCTGCTACGGCGGCACCAACGCCGTTTTCAACAGCATCAACTGGCTCGAGTCCTCGGCCTGGGACGGCCGTGATGCCGTGGTTGTCTGCGGTGATATTGCCCTGTATGCCAAGGGTGCCGCCCGCCCTACCGGTGGTGCTGGTTGTGTGGCCATGCTCATCGGCCCCGACGCCCCCATTGTTTTCGAGCCCGGTCTGCGCGGCTCGTACATCACTCACGCCTACGATTTCTATAAGCCCGACCTCACCAGCGAGTACCCCGTTGTGGACGGCCATTTCTCGCTCAAGTGCTACACCGAGGCCGTCGATAACTGCTACAAGGCCTACGAGGCGCGCGAGAAGGTCCTCAAGGCGCAACACCAGAACGGTACCAATGGCATCAACGGCACCAACGGTGTTGCCGACGAGGCCAAGACTCCTTTGGACCGCTTCGACTACATTCTGTACCACGCCCCGACCTGCAAGCTGGTCCAGAAGTCGTACGGCCGCATGCTTTACAATGACTACGTGAGCAACCCTACCCACGCCGCGTTCGGCGAGGTTGCTCCGGAGCTGCGCGATATGGAATACGAGAAGTCACTATCCGACAAGGCCGTCGAGAAGACCTTCATGGGCCTGACCAAGAAGCGCTTTGCCGAGCGTGTGCAACCCGGTCTGCAGGTGGCCACCCAGTGTGGCAACATGTACACGGCCACCGTCTACGCCGGTCTGGCCGCTTTGCTCAGCAACGTCAAGTTCGACCCCAGCGAGCCCAAGCGCATCGGGTTGTTCAGCTACGGCAGTGGTCTTGCCAGCTCCATGTTCAGCGCCAAGATCGTCGGTGACGTCTCGCCTCTGGTTGAGAAGCTGGACCTGCACAACCGGTTGAATGCCCGCACCGTTCTGGAGCCCAAGGCCTACGATGAGATGTGCCAGCTGCGCGAGCATGCTCACCTGCAGAAGAACTTCAAGCCCACCGGCAGCACCGAGATTCTCCAGTCCGGAGCCTACTACCTCACCGAGGTGGACGACATGTTCCGCCGCAAATACGAGATCAAGGCGTAAAGAAAAACTCCCTCGCATTTCCCTCTTCTCCTTTTGGACATGACCCCTGTTTAGACCGTTCATCCTAGATTCCCCCAAGCGTTTCTGTGGCACGATCTATGTATAGACCAGCGCGAGGATCCGGCTGAAACGGACCGTGCTTATCATTTTACTGTTTTGTTTTCCTTTGTCCAGTCTACTCGACATGATTAATGCTATGAAATAATAACTATTATTGCCCTCTGACTTTTGACGTGATCTGGCTCTGAAACACCACGAGGGCGCCAATGGAAAAAAAATGCACGCCCGCACTTTCTGCACCAATCGCCCTTTCCCCCTCACATTGGGAATGATCAACGGGTTAATTCATGCTAATTATGGGCATTTTGGTTCGTTTCAGGAAGCCATCCACACCACCCCTGTGCGTGACGCCGAGCCCGGCGCGTACTCGACACACTTCTGTAGCCGCCGGGCAGTGGACATCACACTTAGTTGCCGTCGCATTACGGGGCCGAACGAAATCATTCGACTGCCATGGAGATAATATGCTACCTATTTCTTCCATCCACGCACCTCCAGAAACACAATGGCTATTTTTATCCCTCCGACACTCCCTAACCGCCCACGGCGGCGATACCTGAGGCATAGGAGTATCACCCCATCCCTCCACATCGCCGCTAATTACTTGGGAAAAAGGGAGCTAGGTGTTACTGAATTTAGAACCGTTCCTGGCCTCTGCATTCAATCTATTCCCAATCGAGGATGTGAAGAACGATTGTCGAAGCAAAATCCAGACTAAGGCCAAATAAAGCAACATCTTAACGCGCGACTGTCCCTGAAACACCCGTCGGCGGGCGTTTCAGTCCCCTGTCGCGCGCCCGCCCCTCAGGCACAGGGGACTGCTTCGGCAGTTTCGCCTTGTTTACTATGGAGGGTGTTCACGCCTCGGATCGGAAACTAGGACCCTCAGTCCAAAAAAAGAAGCGGGAGGCTCCTTTGGCGTCACCATGGAGCCTCTCTTCATGTTTCATGTTGTGCGGATCCGCGGACTTCGATTCTTTTTTATATGCATCATTCGTCCCTGACTTGTTTGGAGTTTCTTGTCGACGAACATTTAACATCCAAGCTTTTCCCTTCTGGATCATGTCCTTGACCTTTCAAGGTGTTCGCGTTTGATAGACCTTCTGGTCTTTAAGGAACATCTTAACCTTCGTTAACTTTCTTCTTCGCCATAGTCCTCTAAGAACTATCGGCCTTTCTTTATTGAAAACATGTCTCTAGAATACGCACGCTACCAGCCGGCCACTCCACCGGGTTTCCCTCTTGAGGAGTATCTGGCCTCTGGTCATTGTCGCAACGCATCTGGTTCTTCTATCTATTCTTCTGAGTCCTCGCCATGGTCAACAATGACTGGCAACACAAGCCCCGGCACCTCACCTACCCGGCATTACCATGGGCCAACTCTTCTCCCTAAGATCCGACCTCAGGACGTCATGGTCGAGCCCATGTCGGCCGGGGGACCCTTGCGGCATCGTCGGGTTCTGTCAAATACCCGCAACCCACCGGGTTTTGTCCCTTACCCTCCAAGTCGACCTTCTGTCCCGCGGACCAGGATCGATACCGGTGAAGGGTTGGCCTTAGTGTCGCCTATCTCACCGGCGTACTCAGCAGGACAGCGTAGCGTCTCTGCCTTGTCGTCTCCAGTGGCCATCACAGCACCACCAAAACGCAAAGCAGGTGGATCGCACTCGCGCTCGGTGTCTACCCCCAGTGTCAACGACGATATCCTAAGACGATACGGCTATCCCACCTACCGGCAACTGCCCAAGTATGTGGAGCAGATGCAATCGCAAACTACTCCAACCACACCGGTGACTCCAGTTACTCCCCAGGTGGTTGTTTATCCTCCGTATCCACAACGACCGACAATAGAATTATCCCAGCATGATCCTGGACGCCAGATGTCATTGGCAGTACCGAGTCCTCGGTACAACCACAGCCAGGCGTCAAGCGCGCAGGCTTCACCAGTGACCCTGGTCAGCCCTCGAGAAGACAGGGCACCGTTGCCCACCAACCTGCACTCCTACTTGACGTCCCCAACCCAAGCCATCAACCTAGTCCGCAACGTAAATGTTGTTCCTACCCGCGGCATGCACGATTATTTCTGGTGGGATATCCGCAACCTCCGCAGCTGGACTTCTTTTTCACTGGAGACCTTCGATTCAATCCCAAGACTTCCCAATCTCATGAAGACAGAAATCTCTGCCATACTCACTCCCCCTGTTTGCGTGGCTCCCACACGACTGGCTCCAGAGTCCGAGCCTGCATTAGTCAATCTACTTCGAGACCTGTACGCTCCGCGGATCAATGCCGCTCTGGCGGTCTCCCAAGGACCCGATCACCTCCGACTCTACGCAGCGCCAGACGTGCGCAGCACCGGGAACAAGAACCAAGGGCATCCTCATTTCCTGGCAAACTACTCCTCCGATACGGATTGCACAAGTGCGGGATTGACCCGCGGCCGGCTTGTCGGCATTGTCAAGAGCTTCGGACGGTGGAACTCGGGGATGCGCAATGAGGCACCGCACCGGCGCGTCGAGTACTTGAATGGTCTGGCGCATCTGCAGCGCTGTATGCGCGAGCACTCATGTCGCTATGGGTTTATCATGACGGAGATCGAACTTGTCTGTGTGCGCGCAGGGTGTGATGACGGAGACGACGTGCCCTATTTTGGCTACTTGGAAATTTCCGCCCCGATTCCACTGAAGACTGCTGCTGGAGATGTTGCAAAAGATGGCCCACCACTGGCAACTCCCATCAGCGCCCGGTCATACTCTCCCTCATCGTCATCCTCGTCCTCATCTTCATCTTCTCGACCCCGCCGCTCATCACCTGTCCCCGGACTTAGGATCACAACGGACAACCGCCTGACTGGTCCTATGACAGCGAGTCTGGCGCTGTATTTCCTGCTCATGCTTTCCAAATCTGTTCCTCTCCCATGTCAACCATCCGCCCACCTCAATGTTGGTGGTCCGGGCACGCTCACGCGCCAGCGGATCCTCCCCGAGCTAAAGGACAAATGGATCCCCGAACCTCAGATCGGCGAGCGGCGAGATGCTAAACGTGTCCGCGGCTGGGTCTGGCCGCAGGATCCTTGGCATCGTCGTGAAGGCGGCGGAGCTGCGAAGTCGAGGGTGGGCGAGACGAAGACTAAGCGGTGGCATAAATAGGTGTTTATATGGAGGCGTAAGGTTTGGGTATTTCTGGTGTTTGTATGTTTAACAATGCGACCTTAATGACCTCCTTTTTTGTTTTCATTTCGGTTTGTTTTTTTGTGTTTGGAGCTCGGCGTGGTGGCTTGCTTACCTTTGCTGTTTTGTTCTTTCTATTCCCCCATTTTCGTTTCGATAGTAATGTAATTTTTTGCTATATTTCCTATGAGAGATAGATTAATGTTCTTGTACCCTACTCAGGTCATACGGAGTGTGGATCCGGCCCAAGTGATCCACTCCCTCAAGGTCCTCAACTCTGACAGCTCCTAGAACCCATTCAAAGTAAGGACTCCTGCAGATCGACAGGATACTATAGGCCAAACACTTTCCTTTTCCGGATAGCATTGGGGTAGGGACCTTGGGGAAGGAGTACCTCGATAGCCAACTGATCATTGAGATGGGGACACTGCAAGACAGATCAGGTCCACCAACATATCTCCACGACTATATATAACGAACACCGCCATATGAACACTGGACGTAGCTCTTATTTTCTCCTAGCCATCCCGAATTGTGTTTCTTCCATGCAAGTCACCTACAATATGTCCACTAACACCCACCAACTAGACTCCCAGATCCACGACGTGATCATCATAGGCGCCGGACCATGCGGTCTCGCCGTCGCCGCCCGCTTACAAGAAGAGACACCTTCTGCGATGTTCACAGATGAAGAACACCAGCGCTACCACTGGATCAAGAAGCACAGTGGGAAAATGAACCTTGTGCAAGGCAGGAAAAGTAAGATGAACGGTGTGCAGGCCGAGAAATGGAATGACGGCCACTTACCTGCTCGGAAAGACTCGCGAGCCAGACGTGAGTCTTCGGACTCGGCATCTACTGTGCCATCGTTATCGTCCGGTTCTTCTTCCACGATTGCCGAGCCAGTCTCGACGCTTATAATTGATGGATCTGGCGACGAGTGGATGCATAGGTGGTCGAATCTATTCCGCGCGCTGGAAATTAAACAGTTGCGTAGTCCCATGTTTTTCCATGTTGACCCTGGGGACCGTGATGGGATGCTCGCGTACACCCAGGAGGTAGGTAGGGAGCACGATCTGTGGGAGATTCCGGGATGTGTTGGAAAGGAGATGAGCAAGCATAAAAAGAAGAAGAGAAGACAGGGAGGAAAATCGCAGTGAGTGGTGCTTGCTTTGTTTCTGTGAAATAAGTTCTCGTCACTCACTAGAGTCTGTTCTGCAGGACAATCAGTGGCGTTGAGATAGATGAGCGAGATCGCAAGGACTATTTCTCTCCATCAACCGATCTTTTCTTCGATTACAACTCCTCTATCATTGAGCGGTATGGTCTGGACGAACCGGGGCAGATCTTGCTGCGTGAAGTGACGGATCTTGAGTACGACTATCTCCCCGAGAAGGCAGACGTGCCTGTATCCAACTCAAAGATCTTCACCATCACCACATCGGCGGGCGAGAAATTCTACAGCAAGGCGGCCGTGCTCGCCATCGGAGCAGGAGGTGCAGATATCGCGAAGATCTTTCCGTGGAGGCCATCCAGTGAGAAAGAGGGCGCGAACGCTTGCTGTCACAGTATGGAGATCCGCTCGTTTCCCGCAAACCTTCAGACAAAAATTCAGCGGCGGCAAGAGACGAACGTCTTGGTTGTTGGTGGCGGGTTGTCGTCGGCGCAGATTGTAGATATGGCTGTTCGGAGGGGGGTTACCAAAGTGTGGCTTCTCATGCGGTCAGAACTGAAGGGTGAGTGAACATTTCTACGGTCTTTATAACGCAGTTAACCTAAATGTACAGTCAAACATTTTGATTTCAGCCTTCCCTGGGTGGGCAAATTCAAGAACTGGGAGAAGGCGGCATTCTGGTCTGCGGACACGGATGAAGGTAGTATAGCCCTAACTCTCTAACCGCAACAAAAAGCGGAGATCTAATCTTATTTTGCTTGTTAGAACGCCTTGAAATGATCCAATCTGCCCGCAATGGTGGCAGCATCACACCACGCTACACGAAAATCCTCAAGCGTCATGCCGCGCACCACCGCGCCTCCATCCACCCGCGCACCGTCATCCGCACACACGAATATAATCCAGCAACACAGACCTGGGCATTGGCCACTGATCCGCCAATTCCCGATCTCCCACCGATCGACTACATTTACTTCGCCACCGGTACACGCGCAGACGTGGGCGAGATGCCGCTCCTCAGCCGCATGAGTGAGCAGTATCCCATAGAAGTAAAAGGAGGTCTGCCCTGTTTGACCGATGACCTCATGTGGAGAGACGATGTGCCGCTGTTTATAACCGGACGGCTTGCTTCTCTACGGTTGGGCCCTGCAGCACCGAATCTCGACGGCGCGAGAGTCGGTGCGGAAAGAGTAGCCTGGGGGCTGGAGGAAGTGCTTGGGATGAAAAGGGAGGTGGGAGGGCAGTGTGAAGGCTTTTGTGGACTAGGGAATCGATATGCCTTTTTAGATGGGCATGGGAGTGAGGATGAATGAGAGTCCTATATCGATGACTTCGCGTACAGCGCTAGTTGGGATAAATGGGAGGCCTAAAAGGGCTAGGGCCAGCCACGTGTGACTCGTTATTGATACAAGCGCGGCCTGTCTCACGCTTTTCTGGTCCTTCAGCAAATAACTTTCTCATTCTTCTTCACTCATATCCTCACACGGAAAATCAATCTCTACCGGATGGCTCCATTGAAAGTCCTCATTTGCGGCGGTGGTTGTGCAGGACCCGCACTGGCTTACTGGCTCAACCGCAGTGGCCACCAAGTCACTGTTATAGAGCGCTTTCCCGCTCTCAGAGTGACCGGCTCACAAATTGACCTGCGTGGTGCAGGTATCGAAGCGGTCAAGCGCATGGGATTACTCGAGGCCGTCCACGGCATTCTAGTTGACGAGGCAGGCGCGGCCATGGTGGACTCCCAAGGCAATGTTAGAGCACAGGTTATGGCCAACAAGTCGGGCCAGGGTGCGCAGACCTTCACATCGGAATACGAGCTTATGCGCGGGGACCTTGTGCGCCTCTTCTATGAAGCAACAAAAGATGATGTGGAGTACATCTTCGGGAAAACCGTCGAGCATTTTGAGCAAGATGACCAACATGTCACCGTTACCTTCTCCGATGGCTCGTCGGACACATTTGATCTCCTCGTAGGTGCAGATGGTCAAGGATCACGCATTCGAAAAGCGATCCTGCCGCAGGGTACCCCCGATCCTTACTTTAAGCTCAAAGCCCACATCGCCTACTGGTTCATCCCACGCGTTGAGGGGGACAGTAATATGATGAATGCATACCACTGTCCTGGAAATCGGATGGTCATGCGCCGAAGTCACAGCCCGACGGAAACCCAAATTTTGTGTTTCCTCTGGGATAGCTCCCCAGAAGTATCGAGCGTCCACAGAGCTTCTGTGGATAAGCAAAAAGAATTTTGGACGCAGCGATTCCGCGACGCAGGATGGCAAATGGAGCGGTTCTTGGAAGGGATGAAAACAACGGACAATTGGTACTGCCAGGAAGTGGTCCAGGTACGCACCGGTACATGGTCCAAAGGTCGCGTTGTCCTTCTCGGGGATGCTGCATACTGCCCATCGCCTTTTACCGGCATGGGCACCTCCGCTGCTCTAGTCGGTGCCTATGTCCTGGCTGGGGAGATCAGTCAACACAGCGACGACTTCCCCCAAGCTTTCGCAGAGTATGACAAAATCTTGCGGCCGTTTGTGAAGGAGGTCCAACAGGTGAATCCCTTCCTGCTGAAGCTGTGCATGCCGGAGACATGGTGGGGGATTATAATTCTTCACTTTATCTTCCGAACCCTGTGTTTCCTTCGAATCCCAGAATTGGTCTCCAGGTTTACGAAGGAAAGAGACGGGGATTGGCAGTTACCCGATTATCCAGCCCTCAAGGCGGCAGAACAGTAGATCCAAGGAGACTATGGCCCGTCTAAGATGGTGCCAAGAACAGAATGTGATAACTGTATTTTTAATGATGATCAAATAATGAATATACTCAACTCGATGATTTAGTTCAACTGCCGGCTTCCCGCGTCTTTGCACCTTCCGTCTTCTGGCCTGGCAGTTTATGATCCCCTGCCTCGCTTCTCAATTGATTGGGGTTTTTGTCAAGTGGTGGATGAAGTTTTCCAAGGTTTTCGGTAGGCCTTGGGTGTTGTCGTTCATCACACCCAGCGTCTTCCCCACCTGCTCCCTTGCAAGATCCTCCTGGCGTGTCGTTTCATCGTCTTCTAGCTCTGGTTCGTCGTCGACCTGACTGGATTGACCCAGTAGATCTGTTTGCAACATGCATTCGGCCACGTAGCGGGTGGCCTTAAAAAGTTGTTCTCGGGCCAATTATCTCTGACAATCCAATTATTCATGGCTGCCATGAACTATATCTCCCGGCTATGTGGTATTGAACCCCTCTCTTGTCTTACACTCGGTTTCCCTCTCGACAGCTGACGAGGGGTTGCTTGGTAATCCCATCCCACTGGCCCAAGAGGTATTTAGCTAACCTGGGTGGCCCTCATTCTGTACTCCTCTCTCTAACTACCAATCTTACCAACATGAGCGACTCACTATACGACGGAACGATTGGCACGGTGAAGTGCGCCATGGAGACACTGGCACATCTTCTTCGCAAAGCTGAGGAAAGCCCTAACGCCGACTCTCTGCTCGCTGCTCGTTTGTACGACGACATGAAACCTTTTACCTTTCAAGTCTACGTAGCCACTCTAATGGCGGAGAGAACGGCTGCGAGACTGGCTGGTCGCGAGACAACCGTCTTTGAGGACAACCTCGCCTCGTACGCCGAAATGCACCAACGCATCGACAAAGTCCTGAAAAGCCTTACAGCGGTGGACAAAGACAATTATAATAAGCATGCTGACCAAGTCAAACCTACTCAACTGCCCCTAGGGGTGGAAGTCGATTTGTCTGGTGCTGCGTATGCTCATGGGATGACTGTGCCGAACATTTTCTTCCATCTGAACATGGTGTATGCTATCCTTCGGAAGGAAGGGGTGCCGTTAGGAAAGCGGGATTATTTAATGCCATTCCTGACTACTCTGACCCCATATCCCGTGAATAAAAGCGGACCTTGATTGAGTTATCCATCACCTCGTGACATGCTGGCATCGTTTACTCTCTCATGTTGAAGTCAGTGTACGCATATTCTGTGTTGTCAGTCTCAATGTGCTTGGATGGAGTTGTTGATAAAGCAACGGTTAGAACCGACCCTCAAGAATTTACCTTTCCAATATTATTACACTTGATTTCATCTAAAGTGAGAGGGAAAGGTAACGACTACTCAACATATGATAGACTCCACTACTTATCGAATCATACTGCATATTTTAATTCTGAGCTTTGGTCCATTCCAACCTTATTCGCTGCTCACTTCTGACCCCGATCCGGCAACAAATGTTGACAGACAAGGTCACCCGCCCCGCCAGTTCACAGAACTAACGGTAAATATACTATTGGGCGGAAACTTTCTATCTCAAACGCCTCAAATCACATTGTGAGCCTTGAAAGTAGACATTCCTCCCTTCATTCTCGACCTCTCAATCCAATCACCACCCCAGTCCCCGTTCTTCACAGGCGGCCAATGCCAAGAATGTGGATAATAATCCCTTGCTGTCCAGCACTATGGGAAAGAGAGCTATCTCTTATAAAGCTTGACACAATCAAGCTGTCTTGAGCTTCGAGCTGCCTCATTCGTTACGTTTGACGTTGCCTATGAGGTAGGGGAGGGCTACAATCGCATTGCATAACGATACACCATGGGTCAAAAGACCGAGCTGGACTCTCCGATGGAGACGTACAAGCGTCTTTCCAACAATACGCACAGAAACTGGGTCAGGGATAAAGGATTGCGGAAGCTGAATCTGGGGATTATGTTTATGCTTTCATCATCCGCTGGGACGGGGTTTACATCGAGTTTGATTAATGGACTGCTTGTTCTGCCTGAATGTAAGAAACAAGATGCATCTTTTTGGTTGCTTCAAAATACTGATATGACTATTTTCCAACAGTTGAAACACTCATTGGTGGCCTCAAGGAAAGTGTCCTCGGCCTCATCATTGCTGCTCTCTCCCTGGGTGCCATTCTATCATTTGTCCCCGCGTCATATGTAGCCGATATCCTGGGCCGGAAAATATGCGTTTGCCTCGGTTCCATCCTCGTTATAACTGCAGCTCTCGTGCAAATATCCATCCCACACCACTGGGTCTTCTTCGGCATGCGAGTCGTAGCCGGCTTCGGCGTGGGTATCTCGCAAACAGCAGCTCCGCTACTGACCACCGAAGTGGCACACCCACGACACCGGCAGACATTCACAGCCATTTATAATGCCTGCTGGAGCTTTGGTGCGATTATCTCGGCTTCTGTTATATTTGGCACGCTGCCAATAGCAAGCAGTTGGTCATGGCGGATTCCGTGTATGCTGCAGACGTTTTATCCTACAGTCCAATTGGTGGGCCTGTGTTTCGTTCCCGAAAGTCCGAGGTGGCTCGTCTCGAAAAATAGGAAAGAAGAAGCTCTGGATATGTTGGCAAAGTACCACGCAAACGGGGATAAAGATGATGAACTGGTTCAGCATGAATACCAACAGATATGCAACAGCATAGGCGAGACGGGCATCAAAGCCAGAAGCTGGAGCTCATTCGTTTCCACCCGGGGTGATATCCATCGCCTCTCAATTTGCGTGTTGGTGGGCATTATGCAAGAGTGGGCAGGAAACGGTATATCTTTATTTCTTTCTGGTATTTCCTCTCTGATGGTTTACAGGCATTATATCATTCTACCTGGCCCCGATCCTGGACTCAGTCGGCATTACAGACGCATCAGATCAAGCATCCATTAACGTGAGCCTGCAAATATGGAACTTCATCCTCTCCATCGCTGGCGCAATTGCCTCGGAGCGCTTCGGTCGACGTATAATGTGGCTGACCGCAACGGCCATGATGTTCACCTTCCTGTCTATCACAACCATAGTAGCCGCTCTCTTCGCCGAGAGGGACATTCCCGAGGCGGGCGTCGCCGTGGTTCCGATGCTGTTTCTTTTCTTCGGGTCTTACGACCTCGCATATGCGCCGCTTTTCATCGCCTACCCAGCGGAGATCCTCCCATTCCAGTTACGGGCCAAGGGCCTTGCTATTACGCTCACTACCGACGCAATTGCTTGCTTCTTCAACCAATATGTCAACCCCATCGCTTTTGCAGCGCTCCAGTGGAAGTACTTCTGTCTTTACGTTGGAACCTTGTCTATGTTTTTTGCGCTGGTTTACTTCCTCTTCCCGGAGACAAAGGGCCGGTCGTTGGAGGAGGTTTCGGAGATCTTCGATCGGAAGAACAATAACACTGTGCGCGTTGAGGAGGTCTTGCCTCCGAAGTGACAATATGAGATGGATGGATCGAGATTGTACTTTATATCGTTAGAGCTAACGAATGTATTATTGTGTATGTCTTCTCACTACACTAGTTCGATCTGCCGGTCCAATCGGGGTGAAATAGTGGTCTTCCCCATTATCTCATTTTCTGGTACTAGATCCCTAGTTAGTGACTAGACAAACACTATGGTTAACTAGTATAATTCTATCTACCGCCAATCGGTACCAACCCGAAGCTGCTGATGTCTCCCCGCAATAAATGCAACGTTGCGGCACTCGGAGGGGTCTGTCGCATCCCGGCCCGCCCTAACTAGGTTCGAACTATTTATACAATAATCCCTGCTCTTTTCAACTTCAACCCAACCCACCTCCCACCCCATTCCCCCAACATGACTCCCAAACCTCCAAAACAGCCTCGGTTCCTTATCATCGGCGCCGGTCAGCGCGGACTCGCCTACGCCAAGGCCGTCAACACCGTCACGCCGGGCACCGTGCATGCCGTTGCCGAGCCGCACACCTGGAAGCGGCGCCAGTTCGGCCGGAACTTCATCTGGGGCAAGGACGGGACGCCCAGCGAGGGCCAGGAGTTTGCAGATTGGCGCGAGTGGCTGCGTTGGGAGGATGAGCGGCGGAAGAAGAAGAAGAAGCAAGCTGGGAACCTTGATGCCAATAATGAGGGGAATGATGCATCCCCCGCGGGCGTGGATGGAGTCTTCATCTGTACGCTGGATGAAACGCACGTTGAGATCATCGAGGCTATCGCGCACCTCCAACTCCATGTCCTCTGTGAGAAACCGCTCGCCCTCTCGCTGGACGACTGTCTATCTGTCTACCGCGCCCTGCAACCGCCACAAGGAGAAGACCACCGCGCCACACCACCCGCGGCAATCTTTTCTATCGGCCACGTGCTACGATATAATCCGCACAACATCATCCTGCGCAAACTCCTCCTCACGGAGCGCGTGATCGGAGACATCGTCTCGCTGGAACACTGCGAGCCCGTGGGGTGGTGGCACTTCTCGCACAGCTACGTGCGCGGAAACTGGCGGCGCGAAACGGCAGCCGGCGATGGATCCTTGCTCACGAAATCCTGCCACGACATCGACTTCATCCTGTGGCTTCTCTGCTCGCCTGCCTCACTTGAAGACGCCAGCGGCGTCGCGGGTCAGCAGCGGCCGCATTTCCCTCGCAGTATCTCTTCCGCCGGAAGCACGACGCAGTTCAAGCGAGCGCGCAAACCGGTCGATGCGGAAAACGCCACGAATTGTCTTTCTTGTCCGGCTGAGCAGCACTGTAATTACAGCGCGCCGCGTATCTATGCAGGCCGGCTTGCGAAGATGGGCAAAGATCGCATCTGGCCGGCTGATATTGTCTGTCCCGATATTGAAGATGTATTCCGTACGCAAGGGGCCGGTGCGGCAGAGGAATATCTCATGAAAACGTTGCGAGAGGACTATGACCCCGGTACGATGGCAGACTCGCAAATTGCCGAGCGGCCGTGGTACGGACGGTGTGTCTACGAGGCAGACAATAATGTCTGCGATGACCAGGTCGTTACGATCGCCTGGGACGACGAGGACACGGCACCGCATCGAATCGCCAAGACAGCGGTATTCCATATGATTGCGCCGACAGAGAAACAGTGCGAGCGTCGGGGACGTGTCTACGGGACAAGAGGCGAGATTGAATACGACAGCTACTCAATTTCCATATACGACTTCGCCACGGCCACGACTAGGGTCATTGACGTGCCTCCGCCACCAGAGGACCAGAAGGAGTCCCATGGAGGCGGTGACTACGGACTCGCGCGCCAGTTCGTGGCTGCTGTTGATGCGGTGCTGAATGCCGGGATGGATGTTGAGACCGCGCAGGCGCGGTTTGTTGGGTGTACGCTGGAAGAAGCGGTGCGAAGCCATGCGGTTGTTTTTGCAGCGGAGGAGGCGAGGAGAGAGGAGACGGTTGTCAAGTGGAATCAGTGGTGGGAGCAGAAACTGGTTGCTTCGGCTGCAGCGTTGAAGGTGTAACTAATTTACGACATCTATGAGCTATGACTTTTGGAGAGACTTGACTCGCAAGTTGCGTTGAACATCATCACGTTTTAAGAGAAAGAACCTATTGCATATGAAGTTATTGCATATAGTTTGTTCGCGCATCAACCATCAATCCAGCATTGTAATCCCACCCGGCGGGAAGACAGCTTAGGTCTTGACATCGGGCTCCTCGCGACCAACATATTCCTTGAACTTGAGCAGCGACAGGGCCATAGCAATGTTCTCGCTCAGGTACTCCTGGGCACTCAGGTGGAACTTGGACGTGTCACTCTCGTAGCGCTCGACGTACAGACGGATTGTGGCGCCGCTGCTACCTGTACCGGACAGACGGACGACGATACGGCTGCCATCGTCGAACTTGACGTACAAGCCCTGATTCTTGGAGACGCTACCGTCCAAATCGGTGTAGGAGAAGTTGCCGGCATCCGTCACTTTGCGGGCGGCGATGGTCGACCCGACAAAGGTGTCGCGATTGGCGACCAGGTCTGACAGGGTGGCTACCACCTTGTTGGCGCCCTCGGAGTCGACGTTCTCGTAGTCGTAGCGCGTGAAGAAGGTGCGGCCGTAGGTCTGCCAGAACTCGTTCTGGATGGAGCCGATGCTGGGCGTCTCGGAGGGCTTTTGCTTGGCCACGCCGGCGATGATGTTCAGCCAGGCCACAATGGCCCACACGCCGTCCTTCTCGCGGATGTGGTTGCTGCCCGTCCCGAAACTCTCCTCGCCACAGATGGAGATCTTCTTGTTGTCGAACAGATTACAGAAGAACTTCCAGCCCGTCGGCACCTCGTAGCTCTCCAGCCCTTGCGCCTGAGCAACCCGGTCCACGGCACCCGCCGTGGGCATCGATCGCGCCAGGCCGTACACGCCCTGCTTCTGGAACCAAGGAATGAGCTTGGCATGGTGCGCAATGATCGCCAGACTGTCGCCAGGCGAGACGAATGACTTGGCACCATAGATCATGTTCCGGTCACCGTCGCCATCGCTCGCCGCACCAAAGTGCACGCCGTTCTTGTCGACGGCCTCCACGAGCTCATGCGCATACACGAGATTGGGGTCCGGGTGACCACCACCAAAGTCGGGCTTGGGCACGCAGTTCATCGTGCTGCTGGCGGGCAAGCCCAGCTCCTTGACAAAGATGTCCACGCCGTAGGGACCCGTCACACCGTGCATGCCATCGAACAGCACCTTGAAGTCCTTGTGTGTGCTCAGGAACTCCTTGATCAGCTTGAAGTCGAAAATCTCCTTCATCATGTTCACGTAGTCGGAGGTCGAGTGCACGACCTCGACCTCCAGCGGGCCATAGGTCTTGGAGCCGATGCTGGAGATGTCCACTTCTGGGATTTCGGCGTATTTGTAGGAGGTGAGGGACTTGGAGGTCTCGTAGATCTTGTTGGTCACACCCTCTGGGGCGGGGGCACCGTTGGTCAGGTTGTACTTGATACCAAAGTCGTTATCAGGGCCTAGTATGTAGCTGTCAGAACTGGCCTTGCCCTCTCAGCTCTCCAACTTACCACCCGGGTTGTGACTGGCCGTCAGCAGGATCCCACCAGTCGCCTTCCTCACGCGGATGAGGTTGCTGGCCGCAGGAGTGCTGAGGATGCCATTCTGGCCGACCAGCAGCTTCTTAACACCGTAGGCGGCACTGATCTTGGCGATCTTCTGGATCACCACGTCGTTGTAGTAGCGACCATCACCGCCAATGACCAGGAACGCACCATCTGCGCCCTCAGGAATGGACAGGAGAGTGCTTGTGATGAAGGATTCGGAGTAGTTGGGCTGCTGGAAGACCTTGACCTTCTTGCGGAGACCCGAGCTAGAAGGTGGGGGTGGGGTGTTAGTTGGATTGAATTGCTGGGAACTGGGGGCCAGGGAGAGACGTACGTGCCGGGCTTCTGGTCAGCAAAGGACTGGAAGGAGACCGTCTGGACGGACATGATGAGATGATTGGGGAGGAACAGGAAGAATGACAAGAAACAAGAAACGAAGGAGGAAAGGAGGATCAAAACACGTGGGGCAGCAGCGTCGTCATGTGTGTATCATCCATCCCACCTCAATTTTACTATTTATTTACCCATTCGAAACGCAACACTAGGGATCCTGGTCGTCGGAAATGCTGGCCCATGCAGCAACTGGTCCAGACCGCGTAGAAAATAGGAAACATGCCTAAGTAAATAGCTTCTCCCGGTAAAACCGCATCTCCGCAATGCTCTCCAGGATATCGTCCCTCGCCAAATGCACCTCTCGCTTCGGCGGCACCGACTGCAACAACTCCGGACTACCCCATCGCCTGGCCGCCTCCTTGATGGTACTCACGTCCAAAATCCGATAGTGTAAGTGGTCCAGCACTTGTGCGTAGGGCCCGCGGGCCAGGAACGCCTTGTCGGCGTGGACGCTATTGCCCGCCAGCAGCGCCGTGCGAGGCGTGGGCACATGGCGCTGGATGTAGGCAAGGAGGCCGGCGGCCGCAGCGTCCGGCGTGGTGGACGAGGCGCGCACGGCAGCGGTGAGGCCCGTGCGGCCGTGGGTGTCGATGCACCACTGCGACATGGAGTCCAGAGCCGAGTCTGGTTGGTGGATGACCGTTTCAAAGCCGTCGGGCTCAACGAGCTGAAGCTGCGCGTCGGTGATGAAGCAGCAGATCTGGAGGATTTGGTCGGTTTCGGCGTCGAGTCCGGTCATCTGGTTTGGGTTGCGGGTTTAGTTTGAGTCGCACAGAGTAACTGCGCGGTGGTGCTAGCAGTCCGGAACGAGGGAACAAACCTCGCAGTCGATCCAGACTAGGGGATCTGATGAACGGGCCAGCGGCATCGTGGTGATCCTCCGGCACGCGGGCGCTGCTGTCAATGGCGGCTGAGTATTCCGTGGATGACGGGATGAGTCTCCCGCAGGAGAAAAGAGCTGGGTCTGGCAGCGGTGGAGACGAGAAATGTTCAACCCGCCGTGTCTGGTCAAGGCAAACAAGGGGGTTGGGAGGTATCGGACATGTCCTGCAAACATGGAGAAGCAGAGATCAATTGCAGGAATGATGTTCAACTAACAACTACAGGGCGGGAGAGAGAGAGGAATACGCAGCTCGATTACAGCAATGGCTCAGCAACAACAACATCCTGTAGTGTAGATAGATTGGGTGGGCATGACGGGCATAAGATAAATCAACAGAAACGAGGGGCATCTCCAGCACCTGAACACAAACACTGTCGAGAAGAAGAAAATAAACAACACGCCAATCCCGGTTTTAAGGAAGGGTGAAACCACCCCCGGTTAGTTGTTCAACCAATTACACAAAAGTTGAAGAGATCTTCTAGCAAGAGCCCTCTGGCTCCTCCCAAGAACCAAAATCCTCCGTTCAATCAAACTACATGGCTCCGATTCCATAGATGTCATGAGGGAAAAAGAAGAACCTGGGCAGTCTCATAAGCGGCCGCCCAGATGCAGAGTGCAGAAACGTAAAACGCCTCGCTGTCACGCCAGGTGTACTTCGACTCACAACTCCTCGTCTTGGTTCTGCGGCACAGCAGCAGGTGGTGGCGGTTGGGATCCTAGACTGTCGCCAAATGAGCTGTCGCCCAGGGTCTTGGACTCGTTGGTGTTGGAAGCCCCAAGAACGTCGTTAATCTTGCTGGATGACTCGGCAATTCGCCGGCGCAGGGAGTTCTCGTCCGCTTGCGAAACACTGGCTCGCTGTTTCTTCAGCGGACTCCCAAGGAAACCATCCGGCAGGTCACCAGGAAGCTGACCAGGTTCGGATGGTCCAGCGGTGGTGGCTGTGCTTTTGGGTGGTGTTGTCGCCAGGTCAGAAGTTGGCGGGGGCGGGGTGCCAGAGGCCGGAGTGCCAGTGGAGTTGCCTGCGCTATCCGCAAGAGGTTCGGATGAGTGCTGGCGCTTGAGCTGTAGACATTGTCAGTAAAGGTTGAAGAATCATAAAGAGGTCGCTGGGACGTACTTTGATCTTCCGGACACCCTCTGCAAGCTCACCCTGGCGTCTGATGTCGTCCGGAGACAAATACCGGTCATCATCTTTGGCTTCGTCGTCATCCGCCTTACCCAGAATCGGGTTGTCAGTGTCGTCGTCGTCGCTATCCATGTCATCGTCACCCTTCTTATGCTTTCGCGGATTGGATTCTTGGTCTCGGAAGTTCAAGAAACCCACACCCCCACCAGGCTTAAGGGGACCGATATTAGAGAAGTCTGCCTGCAGTGATTTGCGTTTTGGGGCTGGAGTTTCTTGGGCCTTGGGATCTTTCAGAATGCCCATCTTTTGGAGTTGGCCTGCACGAATACATTAGTATGTCAAATTTCAAGACATGGCTGATTGCGAGCAAACTTACGCTCGCCTCGATACATGAAAGTGAAGATGGCATATGGTTTATCAGTCGGGTCAATGCCGGTAACTGTTTGTGTGCTGATGGTCTTTGGATCCAGAGTCTTGGGCTTCGCAAAACTAGTGGTATGGTCGATATCCGCATCTCCACCACCGCTCTTGTCCTGTCCCCCTTCCTCATCATCGTCGTTGGCGTCGAATTGCGGCGAATATTCGCCCCGCTTGATCTCTCCGGAAGCGAGCACCCGGAATAGAGCCACCTTGATTTGGCCGGCTGTCTCAGGGATCGGGTCATCGTCAGATTCGGAATCAGAAGAGAGATCTTCGTCGGACACGTTCTCGAGTGGCGCCTTCTCATCATTGCCGTAGCGCATGATGCCCTTGGACTTCTTGGAGATGTTGGACTCCATTTCCATGGCAGTTTGACCCTCGGATTCTCGCTTCGCTCGCCGTTTCTCCATCTTCTGTCGCCGCCGTTCGATTTTGGCCGCTGCATCTTTGCCCTCGAGGTCCAGGCCGTTGAGCCAGCGCTCCAGACCGACCTCACGGAACAAAAATTCGCGTTCGGCGATTCCTCCGCCCTCTGAATCGGAGATGCTGACCCAACGGGAATTCACCCAGGTCTCTTCGCCCCTCCGGAGCAATGTAGCCACTTCCTCCTTCTTTCTGCCATCGAAGTAGATGTAGGCAGCGATCGTCTCGTTGGGAGAGTTAGTCAACGCCTGATATGGCGCGACTGTGCCCGTGTATTGACCCCGCTGTCCAGACTGACCAGGCAATCCGCCCACCACCTTTGGCTTCGGGGAGGGGTTATCGGGAGTTGGTTTGGGCGTCGAGTAGGGCACGTCCTGGCCCGAATTGAGAAGCGTGATGGAGATTGCGAAGGTCGATTGCTCCGACTTGCCCGTTGTAGAATCAGGGATCTTGGGTGGGGGCACGGGGATGAAGCATGCTATGCGTGACGCGCGGGACTGGCGCTGGATCGAGTACTCGGAGATCGGCCCATCCGGGGTGTGAATGCTCACGGCAAGCCCCTTGAAGCAGGGCATGGCGGTCGACCAGGTGGGCTTGGATCCCGCACGGTGAAGAAATGAGAGACCGAGCCAGGTGCGGAGAAGGGGGGGAGGGGGGATCCTCTATCCCACACCCGAGCAAAGTGCGGGTTCGCAGATCAGAGAGACACAAGAGGTCAGAGGGAGCCAGGTGCGCTAGAGGACTTTTCTTGGACTGTGAGGGACGAGGGCAGGGCTCGAGGTGGGAGGCGGTCAGGATAGTGTGTGTTTGAACTCGTCGGAGGATGATCGTTCGGCAGCCGACAGGGACTAGTATCTGGACCCCACCGTAGCTGCAGGTTCGAGGGTTCCGGGCCGGAAGAGCGGCAAGGCGCGGGATGCAGAGTGAGGTTGGCAGGTAGACAGACGGATTTCAAGACAACAGGTGGGAGAGGGGAGGGGTTGGTTTTGTTATTAAGGATCTCCAGCCAAGCAGTTTCGACAATGGGGAGATTCCAAAGGTCAGGTCAGGTCAGGTCAAGCAGGTCACGGGAGGCACGATCGATCCCACGACGGGGGGTTGGTTCATGAGGACAGGAAAGTGACCCTGGCCAAGTCAGAGCGGAGGAAAAGCGTGATGCAGGAGAGGCTGGTGATCGGTTGTGGTCGGTTGTTTGGGCAGATGAGGAACAAAACACGAGTTGCCTGATCACGTCGAACACCCACGTGACGCACCTTATCCTGATTTCTGGACTAAAGTATGTATAGTTGGTGATAGTATAGTTATAATAGTTACGGAGCAGTTACTGTTATAACTATCATCATCATCATCATATTAATGGCAGGTGTTGGTATTTTGCTCCTTCATCGTCATCGCCCCTCCACATTCTCCACCGCGGTTGTTTCCATCCCATGGATTAGTTGCCTGCCTAATTTCTGGACTGAAGTATGTATAGTTGGTGATATTATAGTACTATAATAGTTACGGAGTATTTATTATGGCCGATTAGCTTCACGGCGAGCTTTTGGGCTCCCTTGATAAGACTCAGTAGTTCTATCCGCCTGATGCGCAAATGCTTACCAAACCAGCCTTCTTAAAGGCGGAGCACACTCGGACTCGATAATCACCACCGGTGATACTGAATACAAAGTCCAAAACGTCATGTCTGCCCACATTCTCTATTCCTAGAGAAGGTATGCAGTAATACTCTTCGGAAGGCTTGATAGCTCTTAATTAATTTTACACAATCGAAGCCAACATGGCTTAAGGAGGGTCGTACCGGTGCGATCTCCCTTCTAGATGACGATACGCAAGCGGTCGAGCTCATGGTACACTTACTTTATCATCTCGAATAATCGCGCCAGCTGAAGCTTGAGCAGCTTAAGTTTGATGACAACCTTCCCGAGACTTTGCTTGAGGATGAGTTGCTTCTCGAAGCTGAAGTCGAAGCTGACACTTCGAAGCCGATAACCCCCAAATGCCCCCATCCAAGAATAGAACAAGACAGAGGTATGAGGGATACAGTCGTTGAAACAACCGCTCACCACCGAGGGCTTTCGTTTGCAAGATATAGTTAAGCCATAAAGGGGGGATTACGAGACGAAGACATAGCCCTGCGTAAATTCTGCTAGAGCGTCTGTCCCAGAGACCTATTTTGTATGTACAGCTCTTGAACACAATTGAATTCGGATGCTTACTTTCGAGTTCTACCACATGCCCGCCCTTCTTCGCCCGGAGCAAATGGTAAGATGAAGAAGCTAAGATATGCCTCATGCAGGAGCAGTACGAGTAGGAGCGTACTGGCAGCTCCCACAGTCAGGATCGTCATTTGAAAACCAACTCCGAAGAGGCACTCCCTCCGCTGTGAGCGGCTCCACTTGAGGCTCCAGTTCAAGGAGGACAAGGTCATTCCGGCCCTTTTTGAGGAGGGAACCCGGGACATATAGCTGCTGCTGGGGCCCGACCATCCAGTAACGCCCAAGGTTGAAGCCGTTCACGTACGCCTGTCCCTTGATGCCACTGATTGCCAAGTAAGTATCTGCGGCCTGGCCATTGTTCTTGTTCTCAAAGGAGCCGTGGTACCACATGGGGGGTCCATCGTTCGAGCCGATGGACTCTTGCCCCTTAAAATTGGTTGGAGCTGTATCAGCGGGTAGAGAGTAGGACGTCCAGCCGTAAACATCAGTTCCGCCAACAGTGACATTGCCGACAATTCCCTTTCTCTGATCAGACATTGCCCCATCGAAGTCGACACGTCCCAAGTTTTCAACGAAAAGCTGAAGTTTATCACCTGGATGAAGAGATACCGAAACTGTGTTGACAACTGTATGGATTGGGTCAATTACGCCTTGACGAACTCCATTGACGTAGACAATGACCCGGTCACGAGGTTTATCACCGGGCTTCACTACACCATCTATGGCGTCGTGGATCTTAGCCTCGTAGAGAACATAGCCAGTGTAAGCATCAAGCGACTCCATTGTGACTGGAGATTTGGCAGTAACGTGTGTCACGTCATCAAGATTGTCGAATAGTCCTTTGATGGGCTTCAGCTTGAAACTGTCAATCTGCTGCAAGGGCGGGACGGTGGGAACATCGGGGATGCTGGATACATGCTTGGAAATCACGGCGCGAAGCTCATAGTACGTAATTGTTGGTCGCCCACTCTCGTCCAGAGGTGCACCGTAGTCGTAGCTTGTAGTAAATGCCTGGTAACCGTCACCAAAATCCAGGGCTCCATTCCCAAAACCATAGTTGGTTCCGCCGTGGAACATATAAAAGTTCAGAGACCCATTGATTCCCAAGGCCCAGTCCGTGTCGTTGATGAATATCTCCCGTCGAGGTCCGTCATTAACGTATGTCCAGTGTGTGTTGTTCGGGCCCCATACCGATGCCCACCAGGCGTAAAACTCGCTGTCGATGTGAGGGCCCGCCTGGGCTGGATTGGTGACGTACTGGTCGTGTGCTGCGTAGGCAGTCTCTGGATGTTCGTTGTCGGTCAAGGTTAGGACACCAGGGATAGAGCCATCCTGAACCTGAGCCTGCGTAGATGCGTCCGTAGTGTAGGGTGTGATATCGAAGACGGACTTGATCTGCTTCAATTGGGCCTCTTTGTATGCCAAGTCACTGCCAAACCAGCCATATTCGTTTTCTACCTGAACCATGAGAATAGGACCGCCTTCGCTGACCTGGTACTTTTGAACGTGGGGCCCCAGCTGCTCCAAATACGTCTTGCTGGCCGCAAGGAATTGAGGGTTATTGGTTCGCACACTCATATTTTTGATATTGTTGAGCCAGCCTGGATAGCCGCCCCATTCCGTTTCGCCACAAACGTATGGTCCAGGTCGGATTACTGCATATAAGCCGGCATTTTGGACAGCCTCGTACCAGGCACTAATATCGTTATTGCCAGTGAAGTCCCATTCGCCCGGCTGCGGTTCGAGGTCATGCCAGAAGATGTACGAAAAGACAGTGTTCAGGCCCATGGCCTTGGCCATCGCTAGGCGGTCCTTCCAAAATCCGCGTGGGATACGCTGAGGGTCAAACTGACCGCCGATGATCTGCAACGGGCTCCCATCCAAGTAAAAGTGTTGCTGGTCATATGTGAAGTTGGTGCCCTGGACTTCTGCAAGAATCCCAGCCGTTAAGGCCAGGCCAACTTTAAAGCCCTTCATGCTCGCAGATGGTATTTGGATACCTGAATTGGGGCGATTCTAATCGATTTCGACCTTCCTACCAAAGAGGATGTCGCTTTCTTTTATGGGCCAATAGAGGCGCCTTGTTTCTCTGCATCTGAACACCTGCATTTCAAGATAATATCCGATAGACTAAGATCACGATCAGCCGGGAGAATTACAGGAAACTTGGCTCTCGGACTAACGTATGCCTTGTAATGCCTTGTACTACATAGCGATGTGATTACGTACCTCAAGGCAGGGGCGCTTACTATGGGATGTTTGTAGGGGTATATTCATTTGCGGGGAAACTAGCTTTTCGATCCTATTAAGGTCTAGAAGCCGAAGTAGCTTACGCCCTACTACTCTACAGAGCTCTACTATAGTAGGCTGTGGAGAGTTGCGTCTTCCGTCGCTAGCTCGAATGCGTGTAGCATAGGATATGGCAACCGTAAACTTCACCCAGGCTAGACTACCTTCTGGCATCGAAGTAATAGTGTGCTAAAGTGTGGGGTCGCTTGCTTAGCGGAAATACTTTACAAATGGCGAAGTAATCGGGTAAATGGTGCTTCTAGAACTTAGATTACCCTATAATGGAAAATACCAATGGCCTAATCATCACAAGCAGCACCTAAAGATTGAAAATGAGGGGGTCTGATCAAATGACGCTCTCCGAACTCTCAACCTAAAACAGCCTAAAATGGATCCCAATCAAGGCAATACCTGCTACATAGTTTTCTACTTCTAAACCCCTCTATTTCAAGATAATACCCGACAGACTAAGAGCACGATCTGCTCGGGAAATTGTAAAAGGTCCCATTGGCCATACAAACTATTTGCTCCGCAACCCAGGTTAATAATTTACAGTTCGGCAGGCTGGGTAGTTGGATTCACCAACGACCTTTGCCTGATATGCGGATTTGATCAAGTAGTTAGATTTCCCCAGCCCCAAGTCAGACTGCGTCTGCGTTGAGAGAAAGAGACAGAAAAAGATCAAAGGATAAAGCTATTGGTAGATTCTGCCTTCTTCAGCGACCTCCCCTCTTCTAGGCACACATTCATCTCACTGCAACTTTACGTACTTTAATAGGTAGTGACAATCGATGTACTGTGTACATGGGCAGGACAAGGATAGTTGAAGCCGCCTGAAAAATACTCTTATCATTATCATGATCATAATAATGACAGATGTTGGTATTATTATTGCTCCTCCATCGTCATCGCCCTCCACGTTCTCCACCGCGCTTGTTCCCATCCCATAGGTCTGTCCCTGCCGAGACTCAAGTCACAATTCTACATGTGAGACGAAAAGAATCATAATAAAAAAAATTTTCATTTCGTAATGAAATAACATTTCTCAAAGCCTATATATTCCATTATCCCATAACCCATTATCACAAAAACCCCAAGCGCGGAACGAAGCCAACTCGCAATCTCTAAACTTAAAAAGAAAACAACAGCATGAGAAACCGGTGCCACACTGTCTTACAGACAGAGCCTCAAATCAGAAGTCGGTCTACGACTTCATGTTTGCTGAGACAACGCTGCGCTTGCGCACTTCGGCAGCCACCTCTTCGCCTGTCGCGACATGCTCATCAAACTGGTACAGAGGCTCCAGCTGGACATTCTTCTGACGCAAGACGTAGCGTCGGGTCCAGTATGGCAGGAAAGTAAACGCCTGGTAACGCATATGCTTCCCGGTGGGGACAGCGAAAATGTAGTCCAGCTCTTCCAGGGTACGCTGCTTGGTCTCAGGAACCCAGAAGAAGATCATGACTAGGGCGGTAACGTTGAGGGCACTAGAACGAAATTGTTAGCGTAGTTCAAATCAAAAGACTCGCAGGGAAGGGCGGGGAAACTTACGCATAGAAACCGAAAGCACCGGTGGGAGTCATGACTTGGAGCATGCGAGGGAAGGTGATGGAGAGAACAGCGGCCCATCCCAGACAGGTAGAGACGGCCCATGACATACCGACCTCACGATGCGAGAGCGGGAAGACCTCAGCCGAGTAGGTGAAGGGAACGGGGCCTTCCCCGGGAGAGTAGAATGCGGCGAACAAGAACACAAACAGGGCAATCATACCCAGATGAGCCCTGGATTCTGTAGGGATCCAGAAGCAGAATCCACCTGCAAGCAGGGTCCATGCCATCTGGGGGAAGGTGAACAAAAGCAGATTGCGCCGGCCGAAGGTGTCGATGGTCCACACAGCAGGGAAGGCAAAGAGGAAATTCACCAGGCCAAAGCCCCAGGAGGCAAACAGAGCTTCCTTGGGGCTGGCTTGGGCTTGCTGGAAAATGGTGGACGAGTAGAAGGCAATGATGTTAATACCGCACATCTGCTGTGCAATCATGACGGTAAACGAGGCGAGAGTGGCGCGACGAACACGGGGGATCGTAAACAGCTCCACGAAACGCTTTGCGTAATTGGTGTTTCCAACCATGGTCGCCTCAATTTGGATCTGGGCATGGATATAGTAGAGGTCACGGGCAGCCTGCAGAGGAGTGTTGCGAAGGCGGCAGAGCGACTTGAACGCCTTGTTCATCTCACCCCGGCGGATGTACCAACGGGGAGACTCGGGGCAGAAGTAAACACCGACGAGCAGAGGCACGGCGGGGATGAAAGCTGAGCCAAGCTGCAGACGCCAGGAAATAGCACCGGTATTCATAACGGCAAGGTTGGCGCTGAAGCCCAGGAAAATGCCGAAGGCAGTCCAAAGCTGCCAGCACATCACCAGACCACCGCGAATAGCAGCGGGAGTGTTCTCGGCACAGAAGATAGGAATAGTAGACGCCTTCAGACCCATGCCAATGCCGAGGAGAAGACGGGTACCGAAGAGCTGTTGCCAGGTCTGGGTGAATGCAGAGCCAATAGGCGAGAGAACACAGAAGATAGCGGCAACGAAGATGACACCACGGCGGCCAAGCATGCGGTTCAGAGGATCAGATAGCCAGCATCCAAGAAAAGCGCTAGCAATATACGGGGCCGCGTTGATAACACCGACAAGCCAAGAGTTATGCGCCGCGTTTGGTGCGCCCGTCGTGTCCGGGATACCGAACGCATCGGGGAAAGAAAGATTAGCTCCATTGGAGCCGGTCTGGTCCCAGCCCTGGACGGCGGCACCGATTGAGCACAGAACGATGGTGAAATACAGCGCCTTGGGCTGGCGCCACTTGTGAAGCACCTCATTCTGCAGCGCAGTCCGCTCGGTCTCGGTCAAGTCGGGCACCGACTCGAACTCAGTGGGATCTCGAGCAACCAGCGCGCCCTTCTTCAGCTCCGGTAGGATGTCGCCGACTTGGAACTCCCGGGCGAAGGATTCGACATCCGCCATCAACTGGTTCTTGCTAAGATCGGCCAGCGGATTCTTGATCCTGTTAAAGCAGGCCGTTAATTAAGGGCTGAAGTAGATGAGAGGCGTCAAAACATACTTAGCAGAAGTATTGTTCTGCAGGTTCACTTCCTCGAAGTGGCCCTTCTCGCCATGGCTCTCAGAGTCACTGCTGATTGGCGGGGCATAATCGGCCGTCTCGACCTGTACATCGTCTTGCTTGGACATGATGATGGTCTTCTACCCCGGGGTAGTGTGATAAGAGACTCAGGCAAGGAGAATAAAAAGATATGTGAAAAAGCAAAGAGAAGGCCAGCTAACTCTTCTGAGAAGGGAAGAAATGCCTGTGATCAGAAGAACAGCTCCAAACTTCACGGGGGGGAACCACGGCCTTTTATGCTTTCTGGACTCTCCTATCCCACTCCAGCCCGTTTCTCAATGCCCAGCACTACCTCTCATTGGGCCAATTTAGGGCAATTGCCAAAGTCCCTACGTGACTATGCCTGTCCCGTCTTAGCTGGGGCACTGGGTCCGGGTCCGATCTACTTCCTGAAACGGTGACCCATACATACGGGGGTGGGGCGCTGGTTATTGCCCATGGGGAAAAGCCAAAAGTCCCAACTTGGGGCCGAATCTTGAGTAGTTTCCTAGTCGGCTTTTGGGGGGGCAAGGATTCGGCATCCTGCGTGGAAGGTTCTTAGGGCGATCCTTTGGGTCGGAGGCTTGCTTCCCACCAAGACTGTCCGCTGGGTGCCCCGTTGGTCGGAGCGAAGTGAACAAATCAAGCAGTATATTCATCGTTTTCGGTATGTTTCTAGGAGACACTCGGCAGCAAAGTGGGAAGTGGGACCCCGTTGAACCCGATTTCAAAAAGACAAAATCCTGAGTCCACGCGGTTCCGCTGCTCCACCATGTGTCGGCATTGACCACGGGGTAGCCACATGCTACCTTTGCTCCTAAAAAGAAAAAGAAAAAGAAAAAGAGAGCCACCTGGTTGCGGAAAGAAAGCGTAGAGAGTCCCGTCGTCATGATCGCCGCTCTGGGGTTCTACTCTGCCTGTGGCGTTTCCAGGGCCCCTGGGGCTGTATCGTACGCCACTGTTGTCGTGGAACACTTGCCTTGGGTTGCTTAATAACCGCTAGTGGACGTTTTAAACTTCCCGTCGTCTTGTTTGGACCAAGCAAGCGTGGCTGCAGGCTGTGATTCGCTGAACAGACCCCCAGGGCGCACGGTGGCTGCCGGACTACTCCGGAATGGGCTAAACTCCCTGCGGATCCTGAGGAAGGTTTACGGCCGTCCTGTACATCGGCATGCAGCGCTTAGTCTAGGCTGCGTGATACGATCGAATCCGGCCAACATCATACAATAAGTACAGTGTCTGTGGACGACGTTACACTGGGATGAATGAATGACTCTTTCATTTTCTCGCGGGGCCCCGGTTTCTGGAGAAATGGGCAAGTTAGGTAGATCTGGGGTTGCGGATCCTTCAGCTACGGATTGGGAGATTCGGCCCAGACAGAATTCGGGCCAGGAGCAGGGGCCGGCAACCCTTGCAACTAAGTAGCAAATTTGCGATGGCTCGGGCCCGACACTAGCACTTGCATTCCCACGGGGCTGGCCGAGGACTCCACTTTCCCTCCAAGGCCTGCCCACCCTTCGGTTCGGGGAGAT